GGTTTTGGTTTTTTTGCCATATATCTAATTAAACTGAAATCTTGGTAGGTAGAGGGCATGTTTTCCATAGCCCAGTGAGCATGACTTGTACTCCAAACACAATCTTCATAAAGCTGTTTCAGACACAGGGCACACAATATGACCTGATCCTTTTATTCTTATGTGCTAAGCCATCACAGCACAGATCCAAAAAGGAACAGCATACACTTCAAGGCCACCCATGATCCTGGTGCAACACAGTCCTCTATCTGTGGTGACCTGGAAAGGAGCTGTGGGAACAAGAGGAATAGCAGCACTGCGTCAGGGGAGGGTGAGCTGGTGGGAAATGGTGGTAACCTCTGATTTGCCTTCCAGTAAATCTCCACTTGGCTGTGAGTAGGAGGACTTAATTTAAAACTAGAGATACTGACAGATGCTTTTATATAGGAGAACATTTTTTTTTTTTTTCCCCGCAAAGAACACCTTTTCAAGTAATTTTCACTTCACTTTAGAATACAGAGCACCAAGGCAGGAGAATGAGATGGTACTTAAATACAAGTAATCAGAAGTGAGTTTAGAAATACTTTTAGAATGGGACATGATATGGCTCCTGTCACTACTGCAAAACCCTTGCTGAATGCACGCTGTTATCTAATTTACCTTAGAAGGAGCCGAAGGAATATTCAGATTCCTAATTATTGCTTTTCTGTTTGCAAGGGTGCTCACATGGCCCATCCTTGGTAAAGTGGCTTGAACAGTAACAGGTGTTAAGATAGGAATGCGAGTTCAAGCCTCCAAAACTGGCTGAGTGCATAATGCCACAGCTGATCCTAATGAAGGGATGACAACCGTCAGCTGGATTAAAGAGTAACCAGGAACTTACACAGTGAGTTCTGAAAGAAGGGAGGGCCAATTTGGAAGGAAATGTATGGGACAAAAGAAACTTTGTAACAGGAGGGAGAACAGCGGTAAGGGATAGATCCAGCAGTCAAAACCGGAGGAGGTGAGTTTGACGCCGTTTGTTGTATGTTCATCTGCTGCCATCAAAAATTCTCTGCAGACACATCCTCCCTGCCTGACCCTGCCAGTGCCTTCGTCCAGCTTGGGCAGTGGCTGTGCAGGTGTGACAGGAAGGGATTCACACCTGGGTGTAAGTGTAGTATCTTGGGTGGTGCTTCTTCCTCGGCGTGTGCATTAGCAGGCTGTAAGGTGCACAGGTACACGTTAAGAACCCACAGCTC